CCTGGTGAAAGAAATAGACATATAAGTCCAGAAAGCACAGAGTCCTAAACAAAATGAACCCAAAGAGGCCTACACCAAGACGCATCATAATTATATTGCCAAAGGTTAAAGACAAACAGAGAATCGTAAAGCAGTAAGACAGCAAGAGAAGAGCAGTTAGGAGGAGGAAAGGGAAGAAGAAGGATAAAGGAAAGATTAAAAATATGAACAATAAAATGACAATAAATATATACCTATAAACAATTGAATGTAAAAATCCAAATAAACAAACAAAGAATCTAATGAACAAAATAAACTGATAAAATAGAATCAGAGTCATGAAAACATTGAACAGAATGATGAATCTCAGAGAGAAGGGAGTGGGTGGGAAGAGATTAACCAAAGAATTTACATATATACATGCATGCATTGCCCATGGACACAAACAATAGCGTGGTGAAGACCTGGGGTGGGGTGAAATCCAGGTGGAGGGGGGCAATGTGAGAAAAAGTGGGGGACATCTGTAATACTCTCAACAACATTTTTTTAAAGTGAAATTTCTATTTAGGCAAGACCTAGATGGAACTCAGGGGATGAAATTGGCTTGCTTGTCCAAGGTTACATAGCTAACTGGTTACAGAAGAAGAGCTTAACTAGAGGAAAAGCCTTTTCCTCTTTTGCTCTGAGATTGCTATTCCTCTTGACGAGAGCCACCGTGCCAACTGCATCTCCACTGTCACTCCAGCCACCGCTCCTGCCATGATGCTGGTTTCACGGGCACACTGTCTTTATAGACTCCTTCCCAGCATCTTTGAAGATAGCTATAATTAGCTTCATTTTTTTTATACCAAAACCATGAGGTTCAGTTAAAGCTAAATTTACTTGACCAAAGGTAGAGTAAGTGTCAGCAGGGGATTAAAATCCAAGCCCATATCACTCCAAATTCTACACTTTTTTCAATATGGGGATTATCCATCACTTTTAGTCCCAAATGAAGGAGAAAGGGTAAAAGAGGAAATGAGGTCGGGAATAATACTTTTTTCTCCTAACATTAATGTAAATTCTGATCCAATGTGCTTTTTATTTTGAGATTAAGAGATTGGACAAATGGTTATTGGAGAGTTCAAAGCAAATAGAAAATCTTATAACTTACTGTATTAATTGGGGTAATTTTTAAAGTGAAAGAAGGCCCTTGTGAAAATTCTGTCAGGACAATAGATGTAAACAAGGATTGTCCTAGGAAAATGAGGACATATGGTAGCCTGAAGTATAAACTACAAAAGTAAGAGCTTACAGGAAATAAAACAAAAGGGGAATAAAATCAAGTAATATACAGTTTAAAGTTCTGGCATCAATGTGCACTTTCTAGTCCCCAATTCTCTCTCTTAGACTATTCTCTGTTACTGCTCCTCATACAAAGTGCATCTGAATTGCTTTCACAAACTATAACTCCCCTTATAAGATTTAAGTCAGGGATATGTTGGCTTTTTTGTTCCAGCAAATCTTGTTTATCTGCCTTTCTAGTCTCCCCAGCCTTCTTCTCAAGGCCAAGCTTTTAGGGAGAAGAGGTTTCAGAAGAGCCAAATGATGAAAAGAGCTTTGTCCGCTAAAACTGCGGGGAGCAATGCACCATGGATCCAAAAGAGATTTTAAGAATTCTGTTTGTGCTTGTTTTCTTCCAGTGACCTCTAGGGAAAACTTTCTTGGAAGAAAATTGGCACTTGAGCCTGACAAGATAGTGGGAAGATCTTTGTTCAACTCTACAGACTATGTTGAACTATTTGGAGGCTTTAAAGGAAATCCACCTGAAAGGGAGCTAGCCAGGATTCCCAACCAGTAAATGCAGGTGTGATGCGATAAAGACAATAAAACTTGGTGTTTTTGTCTTGTTGTTTCTGTTTTTCACTGTGTAAGTGAAGTCAAAGCTTTTGGCCATCTGGTTGCTGGGGAAAATGGGGAGGGAGTGAAAGGAATGATATCCCACTTAGTATGACCTTATGGGAATACTGAAAGAAATCCAAATAGCAGTTCTGTCACCATGTGTATCCTATATAATAAAAGAGAAACATGTAAATTGACTGTACGTCTGCTACGCTCACCAGCCTATCAGGAGTGAGTATGCAAATTAACCCACCAAATATGGTGGGTTAATTTGCATACACAGGTGCAGCACAGAGAGCAGAGTGGGAGAGCTGGTGGAGAATAGAGTAATAGCGTGGTGTGGGGAACTTGGGTCCCCAAGCTGCCAGAGAGAGAGAGCAGAGATGGAGAGCTGGTGGTTTGGAGGACTTGGCAGAGCAGGAGGCCATGGGACAGAGAGAGAGCAGGAAGGGAAAACCCAGAGCACCAGAAGCACCAGGAATTCTGGGAGTACTAGTGCTGGTGGCAGCCCCAGCACTGGAAGCAGAAGCCCAGAGGGCAGGGAGCACTTGGAATGCTGGGAATTGTAGTTCTAGTGGCAGGCAGATCTCCTCTAGGGGTGTCGAACTCAATCAGAGAAGGGGCCAAAATCTAAAATCCAGCCTAAATCCGGGGCCGAATGGTTTACTGAACAGTCATAAACTGTCATTGTGATGGAAACGCAGCGGAGTGCAGTGATGACAGTGTGGTGCGGGCCACATTGCAAGGCCTGGTGGGAAGGATTTGGCCCGCAGGCCTTGTGTTTGACACATGTGTCCTAGACACTTGACTAGAGCAAAGTGAGTCTGGAGCAAGTTACTATTGCGGTGGAGGATGGAGGGGAAGCAAAGGTGAGAGACATAAGGAATATCAAAGTGTCTAGGAAAAACTAAAGGGAAGATATCCTAAAGCTTCCAGGAAATCTTCACCAATGAAGCAAGGGGGGAGGAGGGGGGAGAGAAAGCCTCTATTATTCTGTAAGCAACAAACCAAACTGGGTTGGGGTCTCAGACAATTTGCTCATATGTTTGCAAAAACAGACAGAAACTCCTGGATTGGAAAGGGCTCCCCTGAGGGCTCCCAGATTGGAGAGGGTGCAGGCTGAGGGGCCCACCTCCATGCATGAATCTTCATGCAACAGGCCCCTAGTGTTATATGATGACAGTACAATGTTATTGTCTATACATCACTATATCAGCAATCATATTCCAATGTATAAATGTATCAAAGAAACATATTGTATATCTTAGACTTACACAATGTTACCCATCAAATTTATCCTATATAATAAAAGCTTAATATGCAAATCAACCAAATAGCAGAACAACCAGTTGCTATGATGCACACTGACCACCAGTGGGCAGACACTCAATGCAGGAGCTGCCCCCTGGTGGTCAGAGCAGTCCCATAGGGGGAGTGCTGCTCAGCCACAAGCCGAGTTCACAGCTGGTGAGTGCAGCAATGGTGGCAGGAGCCTCTCCTACCTCTGCAGCAGCACTAAGGAGCAGCGAGCCAAGTGGTAAGGAGCAGTGAGCAGGTGGGCAGTAAGAAGCGAGTAGTCCTGAACTACAAGAGGGCACAGGCTGGGCTGAGGAACATCCCCTGCCCCCCTGCCCGGGGCACAAGTTTAATGCACCAGTTCTCTAGTTTAATAATAAAAAATAAAAAAAATTAAAGTAGCTGCACTTCTCTACTTGGTTTTGCTCAGTGGATAGAGTGTCGGGCTGCAGATGGAAGAGTCCTGTGTTTGATTCAGGTCAAGGGCACATGCCCGGATTGTGGGCTCAATTCCCAGGAGGGGACAAGCAAGAGGCAGCCAATCAATGATTCTCTCTCATCATTTGATGTTTCTATCTCTGTCTCCCTCTCCCTTTCTCTCTGAAATCAATAAAAATGTTTTAACAACAACAAAGTAGCTGTACTAAATACAACTCTGAGTTAGACCACCCAGGAAGGGAGCTCCTGGCTGAGGAGGGGCACATGCCCAAAGCCCAGAGAGGTGCCTGGCCTCTTTGGTCATGTTCACTCTTTGTGCACAGAGGTGGCATCTTGTATTCACGCCAGCCCTGACTACAGAGATGGGATGTGTTGATCAGGGTAGTCTGTGCCCTTTGGTTGTTCAGCAGGGTTGGAAAAACACAATCACAGCTCCGACCAGGCCGCCTGGCACTGTACATGCTGCTTTCCTGCTACTCAGCACCTGATTGATGAGAGAAGGTGGTTGGAGGGGAGAGGGAGGTGAAGTGGAGTGCTTCAGGTGCTCCAAATTAGGGATAATTCAGCATATTAGCCTAATGAAGTCAAAAAGTTAATTTGTAGCTGCCAGCTGTTGAAAGGAACGTTGTAAGCTCTGCAGCCCCACACAGCCCAGTGGGGGCAACGCTAGGCAGAGCGAGGCACGCAGAGGATTTTGAATAAACACAATCAGTGGGGTCTGCTGAGAAAAGCTTGGCAGTGGCCAGGTGGCCTCATGGAAGAACAGATAATGGAAATAATGACAGTAGGTGTCCAGAGCTCCAATGGGGAGAGAAAGGAATATTTCTTTGCTCTGGCACTGGATCTAATCCCTGGTTTACAGCATGCTGTTGGCAGCTGGTGCCAGGCTCAGAGGCCGGGACTACTACAGGGATCACACAGTTAGTGTCATTTCTTGGTTTCCAGCCTGCTCTGGCAATTTATATTCAGGTCTCTCATCCTCCTAGCTTTTTTTAAAAATCTCCCAATTAGATGTGTTTTTGTTGTTGTTGTTGTTGGTATTTTTAATATTTTTACTGATTTCAGAAGAGAGGAAGGGAGAAGGACGGAGATAGAAACATCAATAATGAGAATCATTGATAGGTGCCTCCTGCATGCCCCACGCTGGGGTTTCAGCCGGCAACCCTGGCACGTACCCTGAGCAGGAATCGAACTGTGACCTCCAGGTTCATAAATCAGTATTCTACCACTGAGCCACACTGGCTGGACCTACCTAGATGGTTTCTTAGGCTGGCCCATTCCCTGCACTGACTCAGGAAGTGTGCCTTCTAAGACAAAAGCCAGCGTTCAGGTGTCATGCAGGATGGGAGGTGGGTTCTTTCCCAGCTCAGTGTTGGGTCCCGGTTTCTATGAGCTCTTGGACTCACCATCTTCCACCCACATGTAAATCTTACTGGGCATGAGGGTGGCCGCCAACTTCGGGCAATTATCCACCTACCTTTAAACCCTAGAGAAAATGCAAGTAGTGTGTGAAGGTAGTTAAGTACACTATAGTTCAAAAGGTGTACAGGTGAAAAAATAAAAAAATAAAAAGACTTGCTGTCTTTGTAAATGTTTCTTTTAAATCCACAGCACGACCCTTAACCCCGCCACGCATTTAGTAGACATTAGTAATATAGCACATCTCATCCTGTGTCTCTGTGTGTTGTTGTTCAGTAGGCTACCATCTCCTCCAAGGAGCTCCCAGAGACTGCAAGAAAAAATAGGTCTGAATAGATATCTACTGAATGAATTCAATTAAAACCTACTCTTCAGATGGAAGCCATCACAATCAACCCTCGTTCTTGCTTTACTGCCATCAGATAGGGAAAACGGTTCACTGCATGTGTTTGAATATTAATCATCCGCAAAAGTTTGCTAATTGCCTCATGTTCTCTTCTGTCCTGAGCACTGCTCCTTAAGAGCATTACCACTAATTCAAATGCATATGTAACTGGCCCGCTTTCTCTGGACTGAGTTTGAGTCTTAATCTTAGAAAAGAAAATGCTTCCATTAGGTCAGAGACCGGTCATATGCAAAAAGCGTATCCCCTTGCTTGTTGGAGAGTTATGCAATGTTGTGGTTGTAAAACTGGGGCTTAATATCTGGCTGGTGATTAAGTCTGTAATCACCCACTCAGGGTAGTGATTTAGGAACTCGGCAAGCGAACTGTTGAGGCTTTTCCCCTGGGGCTAGAGACTCCATCAGCTGCACTGCTTTTAATAGCAGCTCAGAGTTCCAAAACACAGATCTAGTGGGCACTCGGTATGTCTCAATTCATTAAGACCTCATCACAGCACCGCAATGTTGATTTTCTCATGCAAGCAGTGAGGATGATCATCATTTTACAGAGAAGGAAAATGAGGTTTAGTGGTAGAAAGGTTAAGTAAATAGCCCAAGTTTGCATAGCTTGTAGGCTGTGAAAGTATCATTTGAGTCCAGAACCATGTCGATTTAAAAGCCCATTGTATCTGTTTTTCAGTCTGGGGTACAGGTCTCCTATGTCCTCAGGCCAATGAGATCACTAAGAAAGTGTATTAATTTTTTGTTTAGTTACAGTGATCATCCTCAGGAGAAACATAAGCACTTTTATCATCATTCTAACCACATTCTCACCAAAAGTAACCATGTCATAATCATGTAATTAAAAGTCCATGTGTTTATGAGTATATTTCTTCCAAGTGATAACCAGATAATATCAGGGAGCGCCTTATAATTCGGTATTTTACTTTGATATAAATAGTCAAAAAGTATAAGAAATTAGAGCCATCCAACCCAGCAATCTCATATAAATTAAGCTGCACCAAAGCTGCCAACACCACAGCCAGGTGGCCAGCCCCATCCCACAAAGATGCCCATCTCTATGTATAGGCACAGTAACAGAAAGGTAGTAGTAAATATGAAATTGGGACTAGTTCTCTCTCTTTTCTTAAAAATATCATTTTATTGATTTCAGTGAGGAAGGTAGAGACAGAAACATCAATGATGACAGAGAATCACCGATTGGCTGCCTCCTGCACACCCCACAATGGGGATGAGCCTGCAACCCAGGCATGTACCTTGACTGGTAATTGAATTGTGACCTCCTCCTTCATAGGTTGATGCTCAACCACTGAGCACACTGGCCAGGCTACTATTTCTCTTCTTAATCATAGAGAAAATTTACCATTTGAAAGCAGACTTCAATAATGCAGCAATACTGAGATTATTAGTATCTTTAATTGAAGTAGACAACTTTACAGAATGAAACTTCATTAAAATTGGCAATTATGAATTGATTGGTGGCAGCTTTAAGTATGTGTTCTCATTAACTTGAATTAGCCAACAATGCCTTAAAGGTATTAATACTAATTTGTAAAACAGAATTACAAATTAACATTTTCTGTATTATTAAAGTTAAAATGCTGAAATTAAATATAGGCCCAAACTTGAGGCTATATTGTTCAATCATTAAACCAAACAGTAATTTTGTTTCATCAAAACAGCATCATGTGTTATATTAGTGTTATTAATTTAAATTTTATTGAATTTAGAGTGTTGTTTTTATATTTAATTTATAAACTTGCTTTGGTTTTACATGAAAGATATAAACATAAATATTGAGTTATATGTTAGTACATATCAAGTAACATTTAAACAAAATAACTAAAGTCAGTAATCAGGGTTTACAATAATTTTATTTTTACTTTAAAATAATTCAAAATATTCAAGTATGAGTGAGATTGTATTGCTTTCTCTAGGAAAAGGCAAACATTAGAATATCAACTTAAAAATGAAGTAAACTAGAGTAGTTCCAAACGGGTTTGCATGGTCAGTGAGTGGACAGGGGGTAGTCTCTCCATTAACCTATTTCAAAGGCAAAATCATGTTTGCATGTAAATACATTTGTGTGTATACATTTACATGTATGTGTGTATATATATGTACACACACACACACATATATATTGATTCCCCACCCCAAAAGTTACTACAAGATAATGATAATCCTCTTGTATAGCAATATTAAGAGTCCCTATGGTTGAATTGGTGTGTTTTTGTTTTGTTTTGTTTTGTTTTCTACTTGTGATGTCACAATCAATTTTAGCACTGAACTCTGGAGTTTTTCTACTATTTAAGCTAAAGGTTTAAGACCTCTCAATGACATCAGACTGTGAGACCCAAGTATCTAACATTAATGAGATGGTACATCAAGAAAACCAAAAGGAACTGGGATTGAGCCTGCAACTGAGGACCTGGGACCCTTCAATCCACAGGTTGACACTCTATTCACGGAGCCAAATTGGTTAGGACTAATAGAACACTAATAAATAAATGGGCTTGAAATTCAAAGGAACAGGAAAAACATATGTTCAAATGGTCCTGTGTCATGTTAAAAATAAAATTCTATGATTGCTTATATTGCCCTATCTAATCCATTTATACACAAGATTTATAATTCATTGTATATTATAATATATAATTCATAACATATATTTTAATATATAATTCATATATTCACTAGAGGCCCGATGCACGAAATTCATAATTCATGCAAGGTCCTTGGCCCCAGCCTCCCCACCCCTCCCAGCCCCCACTGCTACTGAGGCCAGGGACCTCTGCTCTGGCCCCTACCCTCTGTGGCTTAGACCGGAAGAAAGGATGTCCAGAAGGATGTCCAATCTAACATATTATACTTTTATTATTATAAATAATATAAACATATGGTTTGATAACAGTTCTAGAGAAATGGCTCTTAGCCCCCTAGCCAAAGTAAATACATTAAAGGCTAGTCTCACACTGTGTTAGAGTTTCTGCAGGAAAACCATGTTGACGGAGAGCCCTCTGCCAGGAATGTACATTGCCATGTGTATAGGGGCCCCTCTCATGTTGCTATGCACCAGTGTTCTCTCAATCAGCTTAGGCCTGTTGCAATGAAAGAAAGCCAGCCAGTTAAACTCTGCCACTTCCACTGCAAAGATAGATGAAGACTTCCTTCTCCCAATCATCAATTCACACTCACCAGGCATGTACCACACTGTCCAAGCCTCTCCCGCCCTGAGTCTGGAAAGGAGAATGATGGCTGTGCGCTCACCTGTGGCCCGTCGACCCGGTTACGTGGGGAGAAGTCAGCAGACGTGCTCCAGGTCCAGCTGCTTGGGTTGATGTTGAAAAATGTTGAATAATCAAATTGCCCATTTCTGCTCAATTGCTCTAATTTATTATCCCAGGCATTCTGAATGCTAATGAACACTACCTATCACGCCAGTCCATGTCACTCTTCTTTATGATCTTATTAAAATCTCCACGTTTCTTAGCCCAGTGAGGACGAGGAGAAAGTGGGACAGCTGTCCTCCTGCCTCCAGGGTGGTTCAGACACCCGCCCTGTCACTGCTAACTGCTGAATGATTTAGGCCACAGGAGCGGCCCCGGAGTGATATTTTTATACCCGTGACAGGATTGTATAACTCTGAGAAAGGCCATTAGCGACTACAAAGGAATAAGCAGGAGCGGGGGAACAGGTGAAAAACGGGCAAGTAAATCTTGGGATTTGACTCCTCATAATAAAATGCCCTTCGCATTTAGATTTAATGAGCTGGTTATCTCACCAAAAGGGAAGGGAAGTCTGGCACCCCAGCTCTCCGGCTCTCTTCAAGAGGTACCCGATTAGGGAAGGGAGATGCAGTAGACAACAGATGCCTGGTCCTGCCTGGTGCAGGGTGGCATGGTGGCCAGAACGCAGCCCCGGGGAACAATTAGCGGCCCTCAGATCTTCAGGGTGGTGACTGGGAAGGGAAGCCAAGAGGTCATGTGTGTGACCCAAATAGGATAAACAGGGAATAAGTTGTTAGTTAGCCTCTTAGCATATCTGTCAATTCTTTGTATCCGCTTCATTGAAATGGAAATAACACTATTTTGCTAGCACCATATGGTGGGGACTATTTGACAGAGGCCTAAAGCCATATTGCCTGGTTGGGGAAGGGGGGTGAGCAAGAGTCTCCATTTTAATATTTTACTTTAATATTAACCATGAAAGCTTCCAGAGAAAAAGGATCACTGCCATTTTCCATTTGAGGAGTGGCACATGCATTCAGTTTCCTCTTGGAAATGTTTTATTTGTAAAAGGAAAACAATATTTTTGATATTTATGTGTGCATATTAGTAACCATTTCTCTAATTTCTGTTTTTCAGGTATGGGGCAATCATTAGGTTTTGATTTAGATAAAGGCTCATATATAAAGCTGTTTTTATTTTAAGTGATATATGTAATGTGCATGTATGTGTGTATGTGTTTGTATGTATGCATGTGTAAGCAAATACATAAACTTCCTTAATGCCTTCTAAGCTTACCAACTTATGGGTCCAAAGTCAAAGTCCTGAAGTACATCTATACTATAGGTAACTTTCTCCTACTGAACTGCAGGATACATTGTATTTCTCCAGGTGTTCAATGAGAGTTGTAAACAGGACAGAGAGCGTGTTTTACAGTTATTTTGGTCCTGGATGACACATCTGCTTTTCTTGCTAGCCCAACATGTCCTAGTGGTTGTTAACCTATACCTGCTTAAAAGGGGCAGTGCCAATCTTCTTACCTCCATCCCCCACCCACCCACTCCCATACCTAGTCACAGACCCCTGGGTCGCTGTGCTCCCCCTCTTTTTTTTTTTTTTAAATATGTTTTATTGATTTTTTACAGAGAGGAAGGGGAGGGATAGAGAGCTAGAAATGTCAATGAGAGAGAAACATCGGCCAGCTGCCAACGTACATGCCCTTGACCGGAATCGAACCTGGGACCTTTCAGTCCGCAGACTGACGTTCTACCACTGAGCCAAACTGGTTTCTGCAAGTGCTCCCCTCTTTACTGTTGGGCATTCTTACCTCATCTCTCCATGATGTTCATCTCTCTCTGACTTGTAAGGCTATTCCTTCCCACATATCCCCCTTTCTAGCATCATCAGTTTTACTGAGGAGGTGGAGGGCATATCTCAGCCTAGGTGCTGTCCCCACCCTCAATGAATGTAATCGTTATAAGTTTAACTAACACACACACACACACACACACACACACACATACACACACCCTTCTTCTCTCAGGGGAGCTGGGTCACCTCCAGGGGGCTGGTTGGAATGCATTTAAACATAGCCTCAGTGTACTGGGATGTACTTTCCGCTCCAATTTAGCCCTGCTATTGGGCCAGACTCCTTTTTCCTCAAAGCCCTGGAGTCCCTCCCTGCAGTCTGGTTTGCATCAGGATCTATTCAACCCCTAATAAAAATTAGTACTACTCTGAATCCCAGTTGTGTCAGGTTTATGTTCTTAACCATTGGCTCCTAAATTCCCCCAGGCAAATCATGAAACATGTCTCTACTTAGGGTGAGGTTAATAAAATGTTTCATTGACCCCCACATTCTTGCATATCCCAGATTGAAATAACCAGCTAGCATCACTTAATATATGAGGAAAATAATTAGAGGAAAAGCAAAAGAAAGAGAGTCTGGAACTTGTTAGCTTGAGATTAACTGATTTTTCTGGACATGATATATTAAGATCCAAGCTAAACAAGGGGAAATGTTATAAATGTTAGTTATGCAATCTTAAATCTTGTCCAAATAATCATGTTAATATTGACTGTGAATATGTTACATTATTAAATTTGTCAAATTTAACAACAAAAAAGTGCCCACAGAGCATGCTGGTTGTCTATTGTATGTATCACCTGCAGTTCATACTTGGTTTTATATGTTTTAAGGTATCTGTGTGGATGCCAGCCAAACAGAACCATTTTAATATTAGTCTTAGCTTTTTTGTTCTACTCACAACACAGCTATGGGAAGAGAAACACAGGATACAGCACTTGTTCTTATCAGCAGGCCAAAATCAAGCTACTTCATCTATTTCAATTCTCTTCTGGGTGGCTACTCGTGTGAGAGGTATGTTTGTACATGCATGTATGCAGTGCACATGAATGTGATAACCGCTGCCATTCACCTGTGAAGAGAAATATTTAAAAAGAAATTACTTTAATGGATAGAGTATTGGCTTGGCTCAAGGGATAGAGCGTCGGCCTGTGGACTGAAAGGTCCCGGGTTTGGTACTGGTCAAGGGCATGTACCTTGGATGGGGACACATCCCCAGTAAGGGGTGTGCAAGAGGCAGCTGACTGATGATTCTCTCTCATTGATGTTTCTAACTCTCTATCCCTCTCTCTTCCTCTCTGTAAAAAATCCAATAAAATATATTTAAAAAAATAAAGAGAAATTACACTAATAGTCATAGCCTTTAGAAGCAAAACATGTGAACTGTACATTCAGTGAACGAGAGGTCATAAACGTTACTGTCTCAAATGTAATGCTGCCTCCTTTGCTTGGTACTTGAACAAGTGTAAAGAGCCCCATGGCAGAGCTGGGCAGCAGAATTTGTGAATGGGAGGTGGCAGCATCTTCATTATTGCTGCCTGCCCCTTTCTTAGCCTTTCTATGCCGCAGAAGAAAAGATGCATCATCCAGTCTTGCTACCATGTTGGTTATTCAAAGTGTTCTATTAAATGTGCACACATTTTCAAAGAAGGTCATTGGGAGAACCTAATAGCTTATAGAAAGAGATGAAGGGTTGAAAGTAAATCCAATCCTATATAATAAAAGGCTAATATACAAATTGTCCTCTCAGGAGTTTGACTGGCTGGGAGTTCGACCATTTGCTATAATGTGTGCTGACCACAATGAAGGAAGGCCCCAGCCAATAGCTGGCGGCTGGGAAAAGAAAGGCCCTGATCCTCCCTGATCTGCTTAGGGACCCTATCCATACACAGATTTTATGCACCGGGCCTCTAGTGTATCAATAAAGACAAGGAATAGATGTTCAAGGGAGTAGAGTGAGATATGCAGCCATAGCTCCTAATCCCTCTATGTAGGCTGTCACTTCCTTTGCCAATATTGACACACTACATAGAAAAATGGAGTTGATAGACTAAGTTTGGCTATTTCAGAGTTTTCCAGTTTGGGTAGAGAGCTTAGAGATTGCTCAGCATTATATATCTTAAAAGAAAACTACACACACAACAAAAATGAGGCAATTGTTAACTCCAGGGAAAACCAATGGCACAAGAAGACAGTGTATTACATCGCCCCACTTGGCTCATCTGTGAATGCTGAATGTGTGTTTAATTAAAAAGTGTATTGGGAGGCTAGGAATGGTTGTAAAAGTTATGTGGAAGTTGTAGCATAGGAGTAAATTCCTCATCTCTTATTGAGAAAAAAAGAATTTTCTAAAACTGAAAATTTAGAATTAGCAATGTTATTTGGAAACCTGGAAGTAAATAGAAAAGTAAAAGCAGCTACCTCTGCTGAATGAATGTTTGGAAATAGATGTGGCAGGGAACTACTGTTTATCATTAGAACAATGTTGGGGATCACTTGATTTTTTTCAAGTTTGTTCATGTATTCTGATTAAAAATAAGAATTACATTAAAATGTTTCTAAAAGCCTCAAGGCAGGAGAAGCAAGTGTTGTCATCTTGCAAGATATGCTGTAGTTTTAGAAATTCAGACCAGTGGAAGAAAATATAGTGTATTTTCCTTGTGCCTCTCTTTAATAATGAGGAGCCCTCTCCCAGACAGCCCAGAGTAGGTCTCTTTTTATATAGTATCTAGAATTGATCAGATACCTGTCCTTAAACCAACTGCTGGCAAGGAAATGAGATACCATGTTTAACTTAGGCTAATCAGAATTTGCCTCCAAGTCACGTGGGGGATGGAAGAGAACACCAAAACCCAATAGGAGCTCCATTAGTAAGAAACAATAAAATAATTGGCTGTGGGGTCAACAATTGCAGGGAGGAGGAAGTTGGGGGGAGATAGAAAAGGGTATAGAAGGGATAAATAGTGATGGAAAAATAAAGAAAAAAGTATTTTGTAAGAAAAAAAACGTCTATTTTCACACAAATAATTTTTTATAAAACCCACCTTTTATTGCTTTTCCCTCTTTTTTTGTTTTAAATCACTAAAGCAATGCTGAAAGGCTATAGGAGTAAGCAAGGCACATGTGGATTCTTGTAATTGTGAATGTATCAGGATTTGAAGTTTATCGGCTTTAGGCCTATACTCAAGATGAAGGAAAAGCATCACATCTGTAATGCTAATATGTCAACATGTGGAACTGTGTTATTTGGTTTTATCCAGTTTTATAAAGGACATCTGCTTTTTTTTTTATTTTTTCCTGTTATGTGTTGATTCTCAGTACTTATACAGTTTAACAGACTCATGGTTCTGACAACAACTAATATCTGTAATATGTACTAAGAAAGAGTCCAAACTCTTACATACCATATCCTTCCAGATGATGCTTTTCCAGAAACCACACTTTCTAAAGGAG